ACTAAAACAGAGTCGGGCCGGCGCCCGTTTTTGGGGTCGTGCGGGTCGTTTTCAGACTCTAAAACAGGGTCGTTTGTTCTATGCGGGACTGAGCTGAAAACTTTTTGGAATGGTGGATATCGAGATCAATTCTTGATCCTCTCTTTTTGCTAATCTCAAGACTTTTTTAGTCTCTAGATTAATTTCCAGAGATTATAGAGATGCGCTCTTTAACTTTTGAAAAACCGGTTTTAAATTTTCCCGCATTTGTGGTGTCATTCATATCAATTGAACTAATGATTGAACGAACGTAAGTTTGAACTAATGTTTTAGACTAACGTTCAGAAGGACTATTGTTTTAAATAAGTATGTATTTGTAATCAAACGTATCTTTATCACATGAAATGTGATAACCAACAAGAGCGGATTAAAGAAAATTAAGTTTCCACAGTGGATATTCAGATTAAGTGATCAGGATTATTCAGATTAAGCAACCAGGATTAAGGGTATCCAATTCTAAAGTTTTCAGCTCTGAAGAAGTAATTTCAAATGACTCTCCAGTTATAGAGTGGCATTCTAAATTTCCCAGCTCAGCATTAAGGGTATCCAATTCTAAAGTTTTCAAAACGATACCCTTAAAAGCTTTGTTTGATTAAGAATGAGTGTGTTATTAATAATCTTAATTTTTTTAATATGGTTTCATAGACAATCATCTTCCACATTATTGACTAGATGCAGATTTTAAATTAATTTAATTGATTAAATTAATTTTAACATTACAAATAATAAAGACTTTTTACCACATTTGTGAACATGAAATTTGAAAAAAAAAATTATTTCTTGTTTACATTTTGTCCTTATCTGTTTTGATGTTCAACATTCCTGGATTCGGCTCCATCTATAGACATGCATTTAGAATAGTCCATGAAGGTTAAAAAGCTAGGAATAATGTTCGAAAAGAAAACAATATAATTGAAAGAAGAAATTGAGACACGAACACTAATCCTTATATCTTTGCAACCCAATGTCATAATTCTTAGATAGTTTCAAACTATATATATTGTTATATTAGATAATCTAAGTTTGAAATATTAAAGGTTAACATCATCTGGTTGCAAATATATAGGGATGAAAAAAATTGAGTTTGTGGCAAAGAATCAAGTCCTTTACTAACTTGGGACTAAATAACTAAATTACGATGTGCCCAAAACGATTAACATAATTTCAACTCGAGTCTTAAAGAAAAAACATTGCTTGCTGAAGAAACCGCAACAGACTTAATACACAATATATTTTGACCATCATTACGTCAAACTAAAGTGAATTGAAAGATTAAAATTTTCTACGTTTTCAAATTACATATACTCCTTTTATCAGGATGCTATGGAGAAGGACAAAAAACTATTTCATTTGTAATATGAAACCGGATCCTTTTCCTTTACCCATATTGTGCTTAAATCAAATTAGAGGAGCTACGAGGTCACAAAGTCGTCCCAGTAATAGTCGCTAAATTTTGATCTTCTCCTTTCGTCTAATATGAGTAAAAAACCTATCATCTCCCCTCCTCCTCATATTGGAGTTTACAGACTTGTAATTAGGTTTCAAGGGTTTCTAGTGTCAGCTGTTTATGGCACTTATCAAAGCAAGAATTTATTTAATCATTTTAATTATTATTAATTTAATTATTTTGGAATTGATAAAAAATAAAAATCCGAAATTTATTCTAAAGGTTTGTTTCCTTGAATGGACAGAGCCAGATAGGATAGATTGCAACTTCATCATCAAACATTTTTAGAGACTTAGACAAATCCTCTATAGGCACCAACATATCCTAAATTAGACGAATATAATTTTTTTCAGTAAAATAAAGAATTAGATCTGCATTAATTGCATCATTTTCATTTAATAAAATTTTTTTCTAATTTTTGTTATGTTTAATTTCATTGGTGTTGTTGATATCCAGAAGTTTTACAACTAGGACTGTTAAAAATGCCTTTTTTGTCTGAAACATATTTCTTTTTCAAAAACTTTAAAACAATTTTTTATTTGACAAGTTTATATATACCTTTATCCGAGCATAGGAGGATGATATTATAATTTTTCAATCTAAAATCGGTTAAATTCAGCAAGTTTTTTTAGCTGAATATACCTGTAAGTAACTTCATAGAGAAATCACAATAAAAAATAATCGATTTTAAAGGGACAGTAAAGGAAAAATGAAAGGGGGTATAGGCTGAAAGCTAATCACTTTAGCTCTTGATCGTGACCCATGAAAGTTTTATCTGATGTTCCTGTCTCGAGAAATTGATATAAAACTGTGTTATAATTATACGAAAATTCATATATGTAAATTTTTGAAAATCTGAAACTTAAATCACGTGACCAGAACTATCACCAATGGCAGAACAGTATATTGGTCACGTGTCTCTGCCTGTATCACGTGACCACTTTACTGCACTGCCATTGGTGAAATTTCTGGTCAAGTAATACGGACGTAAAAATAATATTATGAATGAAATCTATTGAAAATAGAAACAACAAATATAAAAGTAAACCTAAATTACAATTAGCTTTCTCTGGGATATCATCTTTTTCAGATTGGTTGCTGTTTTTCTGAGCATGGTCTGTTTAAACCTACTATTTCTATACGAAATTGTATATATATGCATTTTCGTACAAGTTTGAAACAGCTTTATATCAACTCTCGAGTTAGGACTTCAGATAGGCGTCTCAAGGGTCTCGATGAAAAGCTAAAGTGATTAGCTTTCAGCCTATACCCCCTTTCATTTTTCCTTTACTGTCCCTTTAAGATTAAAAAAAACGAATATATCTTTGACATTCAAACTTAAACGCAGGTTTAAAGTGTACAAACTCTTTCGATAGAATTTGAAATTCAGTTGTCATTTGATTTATTATTTATGTAAGTATATAATTTAATTGATTGATTGATAAATAATTCTAACCTGAATCATGTGCTGTGTCTCATACAATCTTTTCAGAGTTTTTCCTTGAGTCAGTTTTAACAGCGACACCTTATAATAAATTGATTTAAACCCCTATTTATTCACATTTATTTTATTTTCATTATTTTACCGTAATATATTGAATATTTAACTATATACCTTATCAATATTGAATGGAGACAGAAAGATATTTATTAGATAAATCACAAAATAAAATATAATATTGGATAAGAACTGCGCAAAAATATAAATGTCAAAAATTGTGCACAATTTAGTTTCTGTTATATTAATATATTTAATCCTACAATTGAGCAATTAAATAATTAAAAACATCTTATGAAAACTCCGTTATATTAATATATTTAATCCTACAATTGAGCAATTAATAAATTAAAATATCCAATGAAAAATCTGTTATATATTAATATATTTAATCCTACAGCTGACCAGTGACCAATTAAATAATCAAAAATATCTTATGAAAAATCAGTTATATTAATATATTTAATCCTACAATTGAGCAATTAAATAATTAAAAATAACTTATGAAAAATCCGTTATATTAATATATTTAATCCTACAATTGAGCAATTAATAAATTAAAAATATCTTATGAAAAATCCGTAAAATTAATATGTTTAATCCTACAGCTGACCAGTGACCAATTAAATAATTAAAAATATTTTATGAAAAATCCGTTATATTAATATATTTAATCCTACAATTGAGCAATTAAATAATTAAAAATATTTTATGAAAAATCCGTTATATTAATATATTTAATCCTACAATTGAGCAATGAAATAATAAAATATCTTATAAAAAACCGTTAAATCAATATATTTAATCCTACAATTGAGCAATGAAATAATAAAATATCTTATAAAAAACCCGTTATATTAATATATTTAAGTTTATGGAATAAATTATTAAAAATTTACTTTTGGAGGAATCAGCCATCCGAACATATATCTGAAGACGACATTGTTCCCAAAAGGAATAATGTCTTGTATTTCCCAAAAGATAGATCGAGAGTGCCTAAACAAAATAATTTTAAATGGTTCATGAAAAAAGTATGTATTCACTCCATTTTTAACATGAATAAGTTAATTTTTGTGGAATTGCATGTAAGAATTTGCAACCTTTTAACTCTTAGTTTGGTTTTTAACCCAATATAAACGATTTGAAATCATTCAAAGTCAATTTTATTAGCTCTTTAGATCGAACAAGAAGTTGTATTTGAAAACTATACATGTTAAATTCTTTTATTTCCTTTAATTTTTTATATTCTATAAAAATGACTTAACTTGATAATCTGATATTGATTAAAAATAATATTAATCAATAACCAGTCAATTATGAAACCCAGCTTTAAATAATTTCTAATTTTCATAATTAATTATTTATGTTTTTATATTTTCCCCACATATAGGCTTCAAGATCATAAACAAAGTATCATGCATGTTGGAGGGGTACGAAGACATGTTTCCTCCCCCCCCCCTTTTCCTGACCTGTGATAGTAATCTCTAAGTGGAATGTACTCTACAGCTGAACCAGTTTCTAGAAAGCTTTCAACATGCTTGAAGAACCAGGGTTTGAACCAACGACCTGAACAAAAAAAATTAAGTTTTGTTTGATATTTTTTCTTCTTAAAATCAAACAGTTTTATATTGCATTAATAATTTCAGAAAAAGAAAGAAAAGCAGAAGAAAAAAGATAGAGAGAGAAAGGAAGAAAGAAAAAAAGAAAGAAAGAAATAAAAAATAAAAAAATGAAAGGATGAATGAATGAATGAATGAAATAAAAGAAAGGAAAAATAGCAAAAAAAGAAAGAAAGACAAAATGAAAGAAAGAATGAAAGAAAGAAAGAAAGAAAGAAAGAAAGAAAAAAAAGAAAAAAAGAAAGAAAGAAAGAAAGAAAGAAAGAACGAAAGAAAGACAAAAAGTAAAACACTAAAATCAAAGGTATTAAATGACAATATATGAGAAAAAACATGTGAATACCAAAAGTAACATTTTGAACGGAATAATATTTATCTCTTTTGTTCAACAAATGAAAGAAGTGAAGAAACCGATTTCTTCCAAGAATGGAAAAACATCAATTAAAGCCTTGCAGGGGTCCATATAATTCCACTTCTCATCCTGAATGGGTCGGGGTTGAAATTGTATACTTAGTGGCTTGAAAATTCACTTTCTGTGTCATTGTGAACTTTGACAAGTTTTTTTTGTGTACGTTACACTTCAGAAATGTGTGCTGCATTTGGGGTGTTAAAAAATGTAAATATCAGAAATCAACATAAGAGATAAATTATGGTATATCTACAGAAAAATAATAACTCCCTTGAAGTAAACATACATTCTACGGTATGGATTTGTTTCTACAACTTGACATCATACTTTTAGTTTTTACAACAACAAAATTTCTGTTTACAACAACAAAATTTCTGTTTTCAATAAACAAACATATGCTATTGTATTAGATGGTATTATGGACCTTTAAAATATGTAAAAAGTACCAATTTCATTTAGTTTGCCCGGTTGACAAGAATCCACAAGATCCCCAGTCATTACAACTGCGTTGCTCCTGAACAGTAATTAAATGCTTGTCACTTATCTATAATTTGACGAACATTCCCTTTTTAATTTTTTAATTGATATATTTTAACTTTTAAAATTAATTAAAGGAACTAATTTAACGGTCTCATTAGTACTAATGTACGTTTTAAATTATCATATCTTTGCAACTTGATGTCGTAGACTTTTGAAATTTCAAACTACATTATGTCTGCCAAATATTTGTCTAATTTTAAAATATCAAAAAATGTCATCAGGTTGCAAAGATAAGTGGATAAGAAAATTTTCAAGGCGAATATGCCGTATTTTTTTCTGGAGTCTGCTTACTTTTAAAATCTATATATTTACTTTGATTGGGTATCTGTTTGTTTGTTTGTTTGTATCCAATAAACACCTATAAAGACTGAGATGATCAGACCCAAATTTGGTATAGGACCTCATATGACCCTAGGGAAGTTAAGATTTTCGTAAAATTTTGAAGATCAACGCAAAAAAAAATTGCAAATCCGCAAAAATGTTATTATTGTTAATTCGAAGAGAAAATACTGAAAGCTTCGCCCTAATGCCAAGTATATAAAACTAGGTGAGCGTGAAGCATCCTGATGCCTAGTATATAAAGATGAGTGTGAAGCACCTTGATGCCTAGTATATAAAGATGAGTGTGAAGCACCCTGATGCCTAGTATATAAAGATGAGTGTAAAGCACCCTGATGATGCCTAGTATATAAAGATGAGTGTGAAGCACCCTAATGCCTAGTATATGAAGCTGAGTGTGAAGCACCCTGATGCCAAGTTTATAAAGATAAGCGTGTACCGCCCTGATGCCAAGTATATAAAGATGAGTGTGAAGCACCCTGATGCCTAGTATATAAAGATGAATGTGAAGCGCCCTGATGCCAAGTATATAAAGATAAGCGTGTACCGTCCTGATGCCAAGTTTGTAAAAAGTCGTCTTACTTGGAAAACACGAGACACTCAACAAAATCTGAAGCATCGCTCTTCTCCGTTTCCCGTTCAAAAGTTTCAACCATGGATTCCATGGATCTAGAGAAAGCAAAATTATAGTTTTTAAAAAAGTAAAAATTCACAAACAAAAAAGTTACCTGACAGGGTAGTATTGCAGCTTGACAAATCTAAATGTTTGGTTTTTACAATAAGGACTTTTTTTATAAAACTTTTAAATTTAATAATGGTGAAACAGATTTGATTTTTGAAAAATAAACATTCCTTTTGGACGGTATGATCTTGATTGTAACACTAACCAGGAACCCTGAAAACAAAAATCAATAATTATTTAAAACTTACTTAAAGAATCATTTTAGCCAGAGTTGGAATAAAACTTAGTCAATATCTGACAAATTTCTCAGCGCCGTATTAAGCTAATTAAACTTTCTATCCTTCAATTTACATTGTATGCTTCATCTAAATAATGAAGTTAGCTATAGCTGGCCAAAAGACTGGACCAAATTAGGTGTGATTGGATTTTTTTCCTCAGCGTTTTTAAATTCCATGGGCAACGCCGGGCACATTAGCTAGTGCTTTGTAAAATACTAGCTGAAGTTCCCGGTGTTGCCCCATGGAATTCAAAAATTTCATCTTGAAAAAAATCCATTGGGTTTCCTTCAAAAATGTCAGCCAATTTGGTCCAGCCGTTTGGCCAGCTGAAAATAACATATAAATATATATGTATATGAGCGAAGAGCTTTATTATACAGGTTAAATTACTTAGGATTTCATAAACCTATAAAAACCCATAGGTTCCATAACCTATTCATTTATTCCATAAACTTCAATAAACCCATAATTACCATGTGTTCCATAAACCTGTAATTACCTAGTGTTACATAAACCTATATTTACCTAGTATTACATAAACCTTTATTTACCTAGTGTTCCATAAACCTATAAATACCTAGTGTTCCATAACTCCAAGGAACAGAATAGAAAAGATCTGGATCTGACTCTGCTGTGCATTCAACCACAGAGCCATCAGCAAGAACAAGCTCATAACTGTAAAAATCAAATTGAATATTTATAGGTATAAATCAAGGTTAGGAAAATATTTATTTTTTTGTTGAAAAAGGAATATTTTGTCGCCCAGTAACTCGTTTAATTCACAAGGAGGGGAATACCTGATTTACATAGTACCCTTTTAAAACTTTGTTTGCAAGATTTTTATCATCAGGAAATATTGATATTTTTTTCAGAAGTCGCAGTTTAAAATATTTCCAGATTTTTTTCAGCTGGGTTGAGTCTTCCGGTAATTTAAACACCATATTAGAGATTGATACACGGAGTTCTCTGCTGTCCATAATCAGACAAAGGTTTAAAATGTATACAGTTATGTTGTGAATCGGACAACCGATTCTAATCCCTGAATTCAATCCTCAGAGTGCTTCATAATAATATCAAATCCCAACTGTTTGTTCGTGATTATACATTCCCGCAAGAATTTCAAATTTCGTACATTTTTTTAAAAATTAAAAACAGAATATTTACAAATGTTCTGAAGTACAAACGTCCAACACTGTGTTGGGATTTTAAGTGTGAAAGGACTGTTTTTTGTAATTTCTCTATATTATCTTCTTCTTTAATTTCTTAAATTTTTACCTAAGGCAAATATGCTGGAATAGTCCAAACTTATGACTACTCGTCTCTATACCAGTCCCCATTACTAGTCCTCCAACAGTCAAATCGTCCAATTCAGGGACGATAGGAATCGTCCATCCTAACCTGTCATAAAAACATTTAAATTACTGTCGTAAAGATTTGTAAGAAACGACTTTTAACTCTATACTGACTTAGATATCTAGTGTCTAGTGTTTGAGTAAGCTGACCTGCCTAGTTTATACTGACCTATCTAGTGAATGAGTAAACTGACCTATCTAGTGAATGAGTAAGCTGACCTATCTACTGAATGAGTAAACTGACCTATCTAGTGAATGAGTAAGCTGACCCATCTAGTGTATGAGTAAGCTGACACATCTAGTGTAAAAGTAAGCTGGCCAATCCAGTGTATGGGAATGTTGACATACCAAGTGAATAAGTATGCTAACCCATCTAGTGTATGAGTAAGCTGACCCATCTAGTGTATAAGTAAGCTGACCTATCTAGTGAATAATTAAGCTGACCTATCTAGTGAATAAGTAAGCTGACCCATCTAGTGTATGAGTAAGCTGACCTATCTAGTGAATAAGTAAGCTGACCCATCTAGTGAATGAGTAAGCTGACCTATCTAGTGAATAATTAAGCTGACCTATCTAGTGAATAATTAAGCTGACCCATCTAGTGTATGAGTAAGCTGATCTATCTAGTGTATGAGTAAGCTGACCTATCTAGTGAATAAGTAAGCTGACCTATCTAGTGAATAATTAAGCTGACCTATCTAGTGAATAAGTAAGCTGACCTATCTAGTGAATAAGTGAGCTGACCCATCTAGTGAATGAGTAAGCTGATCTATCTAGTGAATAAGTAAGCTGACCTATCTAGTGAATGAGTAAGCTGACCTATCTAGTGAATGAGTAAGCTGACCTATCTAGTGAATGAGTAAGCTGACCTATCTAGTGTATGAGTAAGCTGACCTATCTAATGTATGAGTAGGCTGACCTATCTAGTGTATGAGTAAGCTGACCCATGGATACAAGAGGTTCAACTCTAACTGTTTTTCTCTCAGCATCTATCTCCAGAACATCAACAAGATTTACCTAAACAAGATTTACCTAAACAAGATTTACCTAAACAATATTAACCTAAACAAGATTTACCTAAACAAGATTTACCTAAACAAGATTTACCTAAACAAGATTTACCAAAACAAGATTTACATAAACAAGATGTACCTAAATAATATTTAACTAAACAAGATTTACCTAAACAAGATTTACCTAAACAAGATTTACCTAAACACGATTTACCTAAACAAGATTTACCTAAACAAGATTTACCTAAACAAGATTTACCTAAACAAGATTTACCTAAACAAGATTTACCTAAGCAAGATTTACCTAAACAAGATTTACCTAAACAAGATTTACCTAAGCAAGATTTACCTAAACAAGATTTACCTAAACAAGATTTGCCTAAACAAGATTTACCTAAACAAGATTTACCAACAAGATTTACCTAAACAAGATTTACCTAAACAATATTTACCTAAAAGATATTTACCTAAACAAGATTTACCTAAACAAGATTTACCTAAACAAGATTTACCAACAAGATTTACCTAAACAAGATTTACCTAAGCAAGATTTACCTAAACTTACACAAGCATGAGGTTGTTCGTTTGAAAAGAGCTGTCGTTGTGAATTTTAAGTGATCCTTTATTTTATTTAGGACATTGATTTACTTTAATAGCTTAGAGAGTTTTTTTTTGATCAGACAACGCTTTATAGGGTACTGCTGTGAATCAGACGTACCAATTCACTTCAAATGGGATAAATCCTAGTGATAGGACAAGTTACACGTACTTTTTATTTATTCTTGAAATATACTGATCTAGATAAAAGTGCAAAAATACAAAATGATAAAATAAGATAAATGTAGAAAATTGTAAAAAGCTAGACTTATGTTATAATAATGTTCCTATCTAACTTGCATATGCATAGAGTAATGTTCCTTAATCAATACTCATTAATTAAAATTGTAATATTGTTCCTAATTTTTAGGCATATAAATATAACTAGTAATTTCATTTTGTTCTTAACTTGCTTAATATTCCTATTATTGTTCCTATTCCTAACACTGTGTTCGACCCTAGACCCTAAATCCCGGTCCTAATCCTTTATTTTTGTTCCTAATTCCTAAACAATCTTTATTTTGTTCCTTAGATTGTTCTTTTTAAATCTTAACTAGACAAATTTTTGATTTTTTCAGAAGAAAATATAAATGCGCTTTGCATCTTAATGCTTTTGATTCTATTTTTGGAATTTTTCTTCCTATATTCAGAACAGCTTCTTAATAGCACTAAAAAGGGAGTGTTCGCGAAAAATGACAGGGGGTATAGGTTTAATGCTATAAAAAGCGCTTTTAATCGCTACTAATCTTACTTCTATCTGTTGCGTCTGTAAGGAGAAAATTGTTAAAAACGACTCACACCGAAGAACGCAACACCCATACAAATTCGGAAAGATGCAACATTCAACTTGGATCGTAAACAAATCAATTTAATTCCAAATAAATCAATCAAATATTACAAACAATAGTCATCGGTTATTTTTCGACGCATTCATATATAGTCAATATTTCATAATATTTTTGATTTTGTTTTTTTAAATTAATTTTCGCTAGCACTGGATTTTCGAACATTCCTGGAAAATATGAAAATGTCGTCTTCCTTATGAAAAATCCTCGAAACAGGAAAAAATGTAACTCTCAGATCATGAAAAATACAAAATATTATAAAATATCAACTATTTACGAATGCGTCGAAAAATAATCGATGACTATTGTTTGTAATATCTTAATGATTTGTTGGGAATTAAATAGATTTTTTTATGATCCGAGTTGAATGTTGCATCTTTCCGAATTTGTATGAACACTACGTTCTTCGGTGTGAGTCGTTTTTAAAAATTTTCTCTTTATAGACGCAACAGATAGAAGTAAGATTAGTAGCGATCAAAAGCGCTTTTTTATCGCATTAAGCCTATACCCCCTTTCATTTTTCGCGAACACTCCCTTTAAGGGAAAGAAAACCTAGTGCTAAACAGGAAAAGTATCTATATCTTAATAAATCATGATTTGTTTATTATTATTAGTTTTTAGTTATTAATTTTGACTATTTTTGAGTCTTTTAAGTAAAAACATTTTTCGCCTGCAGCGCATCTTTTTCTTCCTAAATCGGGATATTTAGGTTCAGTTAAACCCTAAATAAGCCATACATCGAAAGAATTCAACAAATGTCGTATTCTTCACTTTCTGATAATGGTATGTTGCAGATATTTAGTTTTTTAATTAAATGATTATATGGAGCTCTTTAATACTGTTCCCGCATATTCATGGCTATTTATTATTTTCGCAAATATTGAGATCTACGTAAAATAGTATAAAACCCGTTGAAAAATTGTCTAGACATTTGATAATTCTTTCAATGTATGGCTCATTTAGGGTTTAACTGTATTTAATGTAATACTCATAAGAAGTAACATATATGCAGTTTTTTTTGAGAGGATAAATCTAGTTTCTTTCTTACAATGTTATTTAACCCTAAACAAGCTGGGGGTGGGCGTTACGTTCCCCCCGCTGTAGTTTTTTTATCCTAGCACTCTCATTTTTGACACTATCACCGTGAAATTTTGTGACTTTTAATGAATTGTAATTTAAAGGATTTTTTGTTAAAATAATAAGTTTTAAAAATTTATAGGGTAGTGTACAGGGCGGAAGAAAAGTCCGGTCTGTAAAAAAAATCTAAAATAGCCCATAACTTTTTTGTGACTAAGGCTACAGATCTAAAAACTGTATTTTTAAAAAACCCTTGAAAAATGCACGTAGAAACATGTTTTACACTTTGATATTGGGCTATGCACATGCATTTCAACCCTATGCCTATTTTCTATGGCCTTTTTCTATATATAGATTCAGACCCCCAGCCTTTATAGGGTTAAATCCTGTATCCGCCCCTCGTCCTTATTATCTATCTATCAGTTTAGAAACTCTCGAGGGACATCTAGCGGCCAAACGAATGCCCCCCAAAGCATGTCAATAGGACAGCCCTAGTTAACAGAAGGTACGCAGCCTCAAATGGGAAAATTTATGAAATAAGTTGTATGAACGCGCTCTGAAAGGAACGTTTATAAATACCTGAATAGGATACATCCTCTGCTTATACGACATGTTTTGAGGAGAAATGGTTTGCCAGCCAGGTCTAGCAGTACACATTCCTTTACCCTCTCCTTTTGTCTGGTAATCACGCACCTAGCCAACACAGAGATAAACTGTCGTCTTTAAAAAATTAAGAAATGAAAATTGTTTTTCACTGTACTGTACTCTGTGCGCTGTGCTCTGTGCTCTGTGATCTGTGCGCTGTGCTCTGTTCGTTTTGATCAGTACGCTGTGCTCTGTGCGCTGTGCTGTACTGTACTGCACTGCACTGCACTGTTATATATTGTGCTGTTCTTTGCTTTGCTGTACTGTACTGTATTGTACTGCTATTTACTGTTCTGTACTGCTATGTACTTTTATTTACTTTAATGTACAGCTATGTACTGTACTGTACTGTATTGTACTGCTTTGTACTGTACTTTACTGCTATGTACTGCACTGTACTGCTATGTACTGTACTGATATGTACTGAACTTTACTGTACAGCTCTGTACTGAACTGTACTGTACTGTACTGTACTGTACTGTACTTTACTGTACTGTACTGTACTGTACTGTACTGTAATGTACTGTAATGCTATTTACTCTACAGTATTGCTATCCACTGTACTGTTATGCACTGCACTGTTCTGTACTGTACTGCTACGTACTGTACTGTACTAAATTGCACTACGGTGATGTGTACTATGCTAAAATGATCTTTACTGTACTGCAACAATCAGATATGTACTGTACAGCACTAAAGTATACCTGAGACTGAACAAAGGCGACCTTCTCTCTATGTTTAGATGGAGCAGAACTAAGAGCAAAAACGACCTTGTTCCTAAAAAAGATAAACCATTTAAAACTGGACGCGATCGGCTTTTTTTTCAAACGTTTGTTCATCATTCGACCCGTTTCGTTTTTGTATTTCCATTTCGTTAATTTTCTTTCCATTCCGTTCGTTTCTAGCCGAACTATCGTTAAATCAAATTGTTCATTCAGTGAGATCGTTCGTTCAGTAAAATCGTTCCCTTAGAAAAAAAATCGTGCTTTGATATTTTGTGAAGAACAAAAACATTTTTTAAGTTCATCCGACAAATCGTTATTTCATTAAAAACAAATTTTTGACGATATTTCGTTTGAACAAAAATTGTTCATTCGTTAAAAAATGGTTTTTTTTTCCAGTTCGTTCGAACAAACGATTAAAAAATAGTTCATTAACGGTACAACTTATCCATAAAATGCAAATGATCGTTAAAGATTTTTAAATCCTTTGCTTTTGTATTTTTCGTACGTTTAAACAACTTTCGTTTTTTTCATTGAACGAACAAATTCGTTCGTTCATTGTACGTTAAAAAAACCATTAATCCAGAAAAATGTTGCTCGTTCACAAAAACGATGTTCATCTAGCTTTATTACATTACTTGAATATTAAGTTCAAGCCTTCGAGATTACCGATACTTCTCACGAAAAAAATACTACCTACGGATCAGCAAAAAATACACATTTCAAGTACATCTTTCAACAACAACAAAAATAAGGACATTTTGTGTATAAACATTTTTTAATCTGTTGATTTTAGATACTTACGGTATTGTAAAAAATTACCTTGTATAGAACCAGAGATCGTAGATACAAGAGACAGGAAGTAAAAGCATTACAAAAATCCAGCGGTAGTGAACAATCACATGCTCTGAACAAAATAATTTAGATTTATTAATAAACTTGCTTATTTACATTGACACTGTTTAAACTGTAGAATATGAACACCATTGTGTAAACCTTGTATGATATGTTAATGATCGTTTACTTGTAAAATGTTTGTTTGAAATATTCTCGAACTTTATTAAAAAAAAATTAAAAAATTTCTCAATTTTTAATTTTTTCTATTTTTCAATTTCATCTATTTCTCAAAAGAAAAAAATGTCAATGAAAACAGTTTTTTAAGTTCATACCATGTTATTTCTTTTCTTTTTTTGTAATATATTTTATCTTTATAAAATGTTTTAATCATAAACAGGTTGGGGAGCGTTTGCCGCCATTCCCTCTCTAGTTGTTTGCTCCTAGCACTCTTAACTTTTCACACTTTGACCTTTATTTTTCTTTACTTTTCACACTTTAACCTTGATTTTTCTTTACTTTTCACACTTTGACCTTGATTTTTCTTTACTCTTCACACTTTGGCCTTGATTTTTCTTTACTTTTCACACTTTGACTTTGATTTTTCTTTTTTCCGACTAGCATCCTAACTATTAAGGTTAGCGGCATAATTTTGTAAGTTGTTATTTTTCATAAATAAATGATTACTTACTTACTTACTTACTTACTTACTTACTTAATTACTTACTTACTTACTTACTTACTTACTTACTTACTTACTTACTTACTTACTTACTT